CAAGGGTCCGTGTGGGCTTGGCTGGTGGGATTCCACCTAATGGCCTTCCCTAACCTCCCTGCTTGCTAATTAATGGCTTCACTGAGGCGCCACGCCTTCTGTAGCCGCAGGGCAGGCCACGCGAATCAGTTGGCCTGGATCTCCGGGGCCCTGCTGCAGGCTGCTGGGATCCCTGGCACTCTCGCCAATATACTTTTCAAACCAGATCATCGTAAGCCAGATTAGTGCTTAAGACTGAATGACAAGAGGAGACAGAAGGGAAGAAGGCTTTAATGCTAATTTGCCTAGGATTATTTTTATTATGAAAAAAGGTGACTGGTGATATAAAACAGTGTTTCCCCAAGTGTTCTGATCATGAGACTTACCAGGGGGACTCAGGACTGTACATTATGAAAAGAACCTAGAAACATTTTAGGATGAGGCCAATTTGGGAAWTCTGTAGTATCATGAAAAGAATAGTGGCCTACTCTTATTAATGTTCAAAACCCCAGGTTGCCAGCTCCTCTGTGTCCTCACCCACCTCATTATATCTGAGTAGGTCTAAATGTCCTCAGTTGTAAAAAGTTAAAAAAAAAAAAAGCAAAAAAATAAGAAGAGTTTGATTGAATCCACAAACTTCATGAAGACTGGTGGATTCCACTCACTCTTCTATCCTCTGCACCTAGTCTGCTGCCTGACACAAAGCAACCTCCCTTGATGTTTGTTGACCACATGTCTATTTAGTTGAACTGCAAGGTTTCTGTTAGCTTTAAAATGATGTAATTCTAAAATAAACAATAAAACAATTCATTTGTTCCACTACTTAAAAATTATTAATTACGCTCAGAATAAAAGAACGCATCAACTGAAAAAAGACCCCTACACCCTTTCGTCAGGTGGCAAGGTTGCACAATCCTGGTGACCAASTCAAGGATGTGACTTGGGTAATTTCACCTCTTATCTTCCTGTCAAGGTTGTATGCTTAAAAGTAGTGATGGAGGCAGTTAGCACACTGTTTGGCTCACAGTAGATGTTCCATAAAAGTAAGCTGAATCTGGGCAACCCAGCAAATTCCATACAGAACAATGYCAAAGAATAAGTGTTCTTGCTGTGTGGACAGAAGTTCTGATTTTTAGGATTTTTGTTACTTTTATCCTAAAACATACTGTGAAGTAACAAGTTCAGAATTGTTAGAAGTCTTCGCTAGCACATGTGTATAGTACAGAAACAAGTGTTTTTGAAACTGACTGTGAAGGAAAATTAAATCCTGAAAACTCTATTCATAACATTTCAAACTTATTACAAAAGCAAAAGCTTTTATTTCTTTTTAAGAGTTTATTAAATTACACATATAAATACTTCCTTTCATCATGTATTTAATATAACTTAGAGAAGTGATTCTCAAAGGGTGGTCCCAATCTCAGTTGTACCAACATCATGTGGGACCTATTACAAATGCAAATTCTTGAACCCTGTCCCAGACCGAATGAAACAGAAACTCTGGGTGTGGGGGGCTGCAAAATCTATGGATGAACAAGTTCTCTGGGTGATTCTGATGCACAGAAAATATGAGAACCACTGACTTAGAATTAACAAGATAGTCAAAAAATGAGTTCAAAGAAAGTTGAATTCAACTTCCTATACTATGATGTATTAGAAATGAAAGGGCTACATCACGTTCCTAGTTAACTACTTGGAAACATACAAAMAACTTTTTTTTTTTTTTCATATATGAACTCAACTTTTCTCTCTCTGGAAAAAAAAATCTTGAAATACTGATTCTGGAATTAAAAATGTAAACCACCACTTTTAGAATACTCAAGTCCTAATTTTTCAATTTTACAAATAAAATGCAAATGTGTAATAATATTACCAAGCATTACCAAATTCAGTTTTAATTGTTGAATTTTAAAAAAATGAGTACGAAGTTAAAAGACACAGAGGCTGTTTTTCTTCTAGTCCAAATGGCAATTCAGATTTAGAATTAGTGATGCCTAAGATTACAAGGATAACTAGATATGATGAATTTATTATTCTATGTTCTATGTGAGACAAGCCTCTCAGCAACAGAGTTCTGAAAATCTTTAAAACTGTGTGCTCTCAGATATGAAGAAAGAGGGAGAGATTTTTAATTTGAAAGCAGCGTAGAAATGGGGGTGTTGGGGAGAGATTGTGATCCATCCACTGTCACATTCTTCCATCCCAAGCTAAAAAGTGAGAGAAGACCAAAGCTTATAGAATCATTGCCCGGCGAACACTCTTCCGCAGCTGGAGAGAACTCTAGTCTTAAGGATGTTTTTCCAACATTTTGCCCAAACCCCGACATTTATCCAAAATAAAAAGGTTGACTTAAAAGAAGAAACAAATCAGCCCAGAAGAGCTCAACAGCTCCTAGTCAGGAACATTAAATGGCAGTGAGCTGATGACCTCTCCAGATTCGGTGACAATGGCATCATAAACCCACCGTCGGTTGCAGCGGCACTCAGGCCCACACTTGTTGGAGTTACATTTGGGGCAGGGGTAGAAGCAGCCCAGGCAGTTCTTCTCTAGGCAGTCACACAGGTCAGCATCATTACAAATTAGCCTGCCACTTTTGTCATACTTCTTCATAACTCTATAAGAAAAGAATGACATTCATATGACAGTACAATTGTCCTCAACATGGAGAATAAATTATTGTGCTGTGACTTCATATACACAATCCTTTCAGTCTGAGTGAACAGCACCTTGGAAATGACCCAGAAACACTCCAGAACAGTAGGTGGCAGTGACATCATGGGAATTTCAGTCAATGTGTGATTGAACCATTTCCAGTGCAGCCAGCTTGTCATGGAGAGTAACTCTTCATTTTCCCAKCATTGCCAGGGAACATAATAATCCTCAACGAATTATGAGGAATATGCTGACTAACACTTCTTCCTATGTTACAATTTTTTCTTTAAAATTTAACTATTCTTGATGGAATTTCCCCTAATAGATGATACTCTTCTTTCTGATATTTTTGCAATTACATTTTTTAATGACTCAAAATGAGAACTATCAGTGAGTACATCATAATCATTTAAATAAGAAAACTCTGTCACTGACATTCTACAGGTGCCACTTCTTTCCTTTCTGATGTCTTTTACCCAGTGAGAAGGGAGAATGCAGGTGGCAGAGATGATAGGACACCACATCATAGGTTCTGAATGAAGGCAAGGTACTCCGTACCACGAAGACCACCAGAGTCCCCACCCCGCTGTAGATTCCCATGCTTTCTGTCAGTATCTGCAACATGGCCAAGGGGCAGAGACTTTCATAAGAATTTCGCCATCCCCTCCAAACCAAATGATTTTGAAATATGTAATTCCAACCAAGCTATTGGAAAGCCTTAGATAACAAAAACACCTCTATACGACTCAGATCCATTATTAGCAGTTGAAGTCCAAAAGGCTGGCCCTTCGTTGGTGTGGTCAAATTATGTACCTGTGTACCCTTTGTCTCCAAGCTGGCAAAACACCTGGCCTCTTCCTCTTCAGTGAGGTAATATAGCTCCACCCTGCCCCCCTTTCCTAATAAAGCATGGGTACCTGCTGCATGATGTAACACTTCCGCAGGGTCGTCTGAAGAGGATTTTCATCTAAGACCCTTCCCAAGCCCCACAGGAAATACATACAAAGAGATGTAAATTTTATTAAAGAACTGATAGTGAGTGGGTGGTCCTAAAACTAATGGAGAGTGTCCTTTCCTTGCTTTGCCTGAACTTAACACTCCCTAGACTTTAATCAGAAATCAGAATGATTTTATGGTTTCCTGCCCATATGATACAATCTCTCATAAAATTCTCAACTACCCTACATATAAAAGTGTCTAAAATACACAGGCTCTATGGATAGATAATTATACCTTTGAAGTCCTCCTCATGTACTACTCAYTACATTTCTCTATGACCACTCCAATAGGAACTGCACCTTGGTATAAAGATCATGTCCTTTTTTTTTTTTTTTTAAAGAGAGTGAGAGAGGAGAGAGAGAGAGAGAATTTTTAATATTTATTTTCTAGTTCTCGGCGGACACAACATCTTTGTTGGTATGTGGTGCTGAGGATCGAACCCGGGCCGCACGCATGCCAGGCAAGTGCGCTACTGCTTGAGCCACATCCCCAGCCCAAGATCATGTCCTTTTTTTTTTACTTTCAGCTAAGCAATGTATGAATGTATCCCCAAGCATACTGAGATATTTTTCTGTAATTTTCCTCTTTATCCTACTCCACGATGTGAGATTCTTCCATGATGGTACAGATTAGCTTTATTCAGATATTTTTACTGCTACATGTAGCCTGATCTATGAATATAGCACAGCTCATTTATATTTTCCACTACTGAACGTCATTTGAATTATTTACACTTTGTTTTTGCTGTTACATTGCTGCCATAAAACTTCTTGAACATGTCTTCCCTTATACATAATAAGACTTTGCCAGAATATATATCAAGGAATGAAAATGAGAATCATAAGACACATAGGAAATGCCAAGATGTTTTTGAATAGTGGTTGTACCATTTAACATTCAATTCATGCCCCAAAGCTTCATCAGCTTTGATATCATCATTCTAAATTCTGCCTATCTGGAATGTATAGCCTTTCTCCAGAAGTTACTGATGAGGTTTAGTATCCACATTAGCTTTATCTTCTGTGAAATGTTGGTTCACTATTTTCTTTATTTTTCTATTATGATGTTTATCTTTATCTTATTTACTTCTAAGAGTCTTTAAATATCTTAGATTTTGATTTCTTATAACTTTTTCCACTTTGTGATTTTTCTTTTGTTGTTTTAAGGGCATCTTTTAATGATATGTTATTAATTTTTAAAAATATATATGTATTTTTTTAGTTGTCAATGGACCTTTATTTAATTTATTTATTTGTATATGGTGCTGAGAATCAAACCAGTCACACATGCCTGGCAAGCGCTCTACCACAACTCTAGCCCCATGTTATTAATTTTAATGCAGTTGAACTTATCAATTTTTCTTTTTGGTTTGCTTAATGTGTGTGTGTGTGTGTGTGTGTGTGTGTGTGTGTGTGTGTGTAGTGAGGATTGAACCAAGGGCCTCCTTAATACTAGGTAAGCTTTCTACTAATGAGCTACACACCCAACTAGTTTCTACTTCTGATGCACTAGCGATCTTAATGATAGTACTGCGCCCATTTAATATTCCAAATTCATTCCCTTGGTGATACTATTTCTCCTTCTAAGGATGCATCTTTGTTACTTTTAATCACATTTCCTACTAAGCTATTAATATAGTACAGGGCATTTTTATTTTTAATTGATTTCTTGTTTCAGATTATATTTGCTAACTTCCAGGAATATGGAATACTATTTTAATTTAGATATTTTTAAATCATAGAAGAGGCAATCTAATTAAAATAAAGGAGAAACGGAGAGTTTTATTTCTACTAGTATAATAATAATAATAATAATTATCATCATCATCATCATCATCATCATCATCATCAGGTACTGTAGATTTAACCCAGGGCACTTTATCACTGAGCCACATCCCCAGCCCTTTTTGTTTTTTATTTTTGGACAGGGTCTCACTAAGCTGCTTAGGGCCTCGCTAAGTTGCTGAAGCTAGCCTCGAACTTGTAATTCTCCTGCCTCAGGCTCCAGAGTTGCTGGGATTACAGGAATGCATCACCATACCAGGAGAGACCTTGAAAATTTTATAATCCCACTAATAAAATAGAATGAGTCATGGGCTTACTTGTGTTTCACAGAAAAATATTCATTCATCTTTGACATCCGGGCTTTCTTCTTCTGCTGCCTTGTTTCTGGGTTGAAGTCTGCTACCTGTGGTCCAGGGTTTTGAAATGCCAAGCATTTTAGCTGCCTTTCTATTTGTTGCTGAGAAACAAACAAAATGCTTTAGTAGTAGGAATTATATCATTCGTTTTGCATTTTCAAAAGAACTTTCTGTAACTTTAATCATAATGGCATGAAAGTATATTTGTTTTATGTAGAAAACCCAAAGAGTTTGACCTGATTACATTTCAAAGATGATATAAATAGTCTCAAATTAGGCTATGCTTCCAAATAAATACATAATACAAAACTTACATAATAAAAATGTAAAAAAAAAGAATCATGGGGAAACACAAAACCTCTTTTTACATGAAAATCCACAGTCAGCTTCATCTAAGGTAGGAGACCCTTCCCAAGCCCCACAGGAAATTCATACAAAGAGATGTAAATTTTATTATAGAACTGATAGTGAGCGGGTGGTCCTTTCCAAATAGGATGAAGATGAATATCAGAAATAGCATTTTATGATGGATAAGGATGAAGGAATAATGGTCCAATGGTCCTTCCTCAGCTATGAGCAGACGATGCTCATGTAAAGTCTCAAACCAATGAGGACCCACAGTATGCTCAGCCCTACCCTCCAGGTCTGGGATGAGTTTTAGGTCTGCCTGTTCTGGGACTGTGGACATCACTAGGCCTTCACGTGAGAGCGCAGCCACCTGGAGGATCCACTCTTAGTCAAAGCCAGATTTGAATGGAAATATCTTGCTAGAATTATTTTCTAGGGTGTTAGGGGAAATTTTCGGAAGTCTTTGGGGGGGGTTTTGTAATTAGAAATTAAATGAGGCCTAATTGGGAAGAAAGCAATCAAAGACTTCAATCAAATACTGATGACTTAAAAAAAAAAAAAAAACATGCAGCACACATATCACGAGGGAAGGGAATGCTCTCTTGAAGGATTTTAGGAGAAAGTAATCTGGGTATCCCAAACATGTAGGCTGGCATATACTTGGAAACACTAAACGTGGAGACAAAAGGACAGTTTCAATGTAATATGAGTAACAGGATCTCATAGGCTCTCCTACAATTTATTTAATATAATAGTTTAGGCAATCTAAAATAATATGTTTCTTTGAAATTTTCATCTTAGTTGTGTATATATGGGTTTGTTTTACAGATCTGAGCTTATGTAACAGCTCTGCACTTAGGTACAGCTACGAAACAGGTAACACCTAGTACTTTCTAGGTACTAGGTGCTTAGCTCTTGCAAGCTCTGCTGCTTGCCCGTGGTGTGCCTTGAGCAAGTTCCTACTTCACTAAGCCTCAGTTTCCCATTTTGTAAAATGGGGCCAAAAGTAGTATCTTGTGATAAGAATTAGATGAGTCAATATATACAAAGTTTAGAACCATGACACAATGAGACCAAAATAGGGGTTTGTTCAATTAAAACACTTGAGTATATTTTTTTTCAAGCATTCTACTCTGAGGGTGAGATTTTATTGCATACAAAGAACACTGGAATAAAAATGAAGGAACATGAGAGGCAAAGAGGACATGTCAGGTAAAACCAGTCCAACAGCTGGCACAGAGACCCATCTGGTGGCATCCTGACTGAACCCACCTTTGCACTAAGTCCACCAGCATCTCAGAGATCCCCAAGTTTGGAACTCACCAAACTATATGGAATCATAAAATCCATGTATCATACCAATTGCTTCTGTCCAATTTGACAGATTTTCTCTGGAGAACTTTGATCTGTGGGTCTCTCTCGAGTGGAATTATTTTTATCTGATTTATCAGTCATTTCCGATCACTAAAAAGAGTAACTGAAAAGAAGCAAAAACATTAATGTCATATATCCCCAGTAACTTTTTGAAAATCTCATCTCCTCCCAGGGTTTCAGCTGTCACCTCTTCAGTCATCATTCCCAGGCTACCTTTAAAAGCCTTGACCCCCCTCCAGCAAGTTTTCTGACAAATTTCCTGTGTAATTTGAGCTAAATGGGAGGTGAGGGGTTTTCATAATACCCAGTTGCTAAAATGCCTGTAGTTTGCTTCAAAACGCTTCAGTATACATACCATATTCAATATATATGCAGGGTGTGTGTGTGTGTGTGTGTGTGTGTGTGTGTGTGTGTGTGTGTGTGACTTCTGTGTGACTGGGGTATAGCCCACACATTGCTGATGCTGAATGCATAGTGCAGTGTTCGTCTGCTGTGCTCTATCAGGAAACACCATGCTCCAGAGGTCTCCACAAGCCCTGCCATTCTCCCTACTTACCATCAGCTACCATGCCTACTACCAGGTGCTATTTCTCCCAAAGGAACTTAAGAGTTATGCTCTACTATGTTGACACGGGTCATTTGGCATCACATCGCTCCCAGACAGCTGGAAATTCCATTTCTATCACTGCACCTCATTCTCTTTGAGTCAAGGGTCAACACCTTTGTCTGTATCCTCTGTATCCCACTTTCTAATTCCCAACATTAGGTTAGGAAGGAATGTTGATATTTCTTTTCTGATAGTCCTAACACTGGTTCTTCCTTTCCAGTCTCTATTGAGTAGTCTATCCTGATGATAATAGTAGCAGCAGCAGCAGTGGTAGTAGTGGCATTACATTACCCTTGACTAAGGTGACCTCAGCTTCACTAAATTTTAGACAGATTTCTTCCTGATAATAGAACCTTGACCTCCCTTTCCTTTAGAAGCATTTACTTAAGAAAATGTGCAATTATGAACTCTTTCTTTTTCCCTTTGGATTGTAAATCTTCTCCCATTTTCTGTCATTTTATAACCCGTGTCTGTCTTTCTCAAGTACCTGGAAACTATCCCTTTGAAATTGAATCAAGGAAGATAGTGCCCCTTTCTCCCCTGTCTCCATCAGAGGATGGGAGTCTAATTTTGACTAGGTACTAATTAGCAAACATAAGTAACCTTGTCACAAAGACATTTGCAAAATAATACAATGTACTTGATGCATCCCATTGTCCAATAAACCCCTTTCTGTCTTCCATTTATTTTTCAGTAGTTGATCTCAGCCCTTGAGAACCCACCACCCTTTGTTTCAGTGGAGTTAAGTTCATACTGAGTTCTGGTCTCAGTCCTTTATTATGACAGCTTCGAATAGTCTTCCTTGCCTATTTAAAAATTATACTTTGTCCAGAGTAACTTTTACTTTGACACTACCACATGCAAGTTTTCAGATCTGATCAAACATTCCTGTTAAGTATTTTTCAAACTGTTAGAAGATAAAATCATATGAAGCTGTTTTAAAAATCATAATTTCCTTGATGAATCCCAGACTTACTTGGGCTATCATTTTCAGGGGTAATCTGTATCATTATAGGCTCTCCAGGCAAATTCCATCTTTAGGTAGTTATGGGAAACATTAGGATAGGGAAAATAAGTATAATTTTATCTACCCAGTTTTGCCATTTGATCCTAAAACTATTGTCCACACTTTCTTCCTGCCCCTAATTCATCAAATACATTCTGGTCATGTTAACATTCCTTAAACAGAAATTTATTTGTCTTCCTGTTAAAAGACTGCAATGATTCCTCTTTGCCAATAATATCCCACCATCACTGGTGTATATTAGCCAATGTCTATCAAAGTGTTCTATACCCTACCTGCCTGAGCTCATCACTGCACATACTTACACTTGGGCTAACAGCTACCTGACTTCACTGCACCCATTAGCATCTCTCCACCTCTTACTTATCTGAATCTTTCAACTTCAAACTTTGGCCCTCTGCCTCCTAAGAGGCCATTGCTTATCCATGAATCTCTCTTTTAGACTCCATGTGGAACTTTTCAAGAACATATCCAAAAAGGGGTCCCAAACCTTCTAGTTTCTTCACATAACATTTTTTCTCCTCRTTGGAAAGATTATGAGCATCTTTGTAAGCAAGAACTTTTCCTGAAATGATCTGGGATTTAACTGCACTTCATTAAATGAGTATCTTATGCAAACCCTCTGCCCAAGGCACTTTAAGTCCTTTGTAAAATGTAGGTTTCCAAAAAGATATGAGGAGAAAATTTGCTACTTTGCATTTCAAATAATGCAAAAAAATTATAATATAATTTCACCGGGTACTGAAATGTAATTGGATTTTATTGTGAGCCCAAAATATTGGTCTTAGGAAAAGTAATTAAAAGGTTCAGAATTCTCTCTTTTCCCTTGTTTGGTATTCCCAAAGCAGAGATTTTTCACTGGACAATACAGGTGGTCCTTGAACTTGGATAAGTAAAAAAAAAAGACATATTTGTTTCCATTAATCTGTAAGTGAAATTCTGGCATTTCCTTCTATGATAATGTAACCAACATGCCTCAGTAGTGTTAGCAGTATCTGTGACCTTGTTGAGTAAGAAACAATAGATTTTATTAGTCAATTAGAGTTGCTATGTATATACAAATTTTCATTAATGTTTATTACTTATTAAAATTATTTCATGAGCTTTATAATGTTTTGAACAACCAATAAAAAAGAAATAAAATAAAATTATTATAGTTCTTAGACTTGATATTAGATCTTATTGTTTGGCTATTAATTAAGTGCATGTTATTATCATAACATTTTGATAAGTGTATTTTAAGCTAATTAGTTTCCTTTGTAATCTTACAGACTTTATATTATATCATTAAAAATATCATTCTGGGAAATAATCCATAGATGTCACTGTTAACCTAAGGAGTTCACAATACAAAAAGAAGATTCAGAGTCCCTGCCAAGGGGCAGTGTAATCGACTGCCATCATCTCCACTGCTATTGGTGATAAAAATGACATTTCCCAGCTCAGGGTCATTCAGGCTGTGGAAGATGCTCATCTCCAAGCACATGACTGGAGGCCATGTAGCGTATCCTGAGTTACTKCATTTGACAGGGATGCAAAGAATGTGAAATCAGTTTGACAAACTCTCAATTTTTCCCTAACATTTTGTCAGATTGCTTTTAAATGATAAAAAAATAAGGTACAACACAAAGAAAGGAGGCTCCCCCAAGTGGCCCATTCCTAACTCCTAGCACACTGACTCCTAGAGGAGCTAGTCTAAGAGTGGTCCTAAAATAAAGCAATTAGGTATCTGTGTGGGGAAAGAGAACACGTAGCCAGAATGGAAATCATCTGCTTCACTAAGTTCATTGAGTAGGTTAGCTTTCATTTTTCTTCACAAAAAGACAATCTTCCTGGCCAAGACTGATGGTACATCAATATAATACTAGCATATTGGGAGGCTKAGACAGAAGGATCAGAAGTTCAAAGCCAGCCTCAACAACTTAGGCCCTAAGCAGCTTAGTGAGACCCTGTCTCTAAATAAATACAAACTAGGACTGGGGACATAACTCAGTGGTTAAGCACTGCTGGGTTCAATCCCTGGAATTAACAAAAGAATAAAGAGGAGGAGGAAGAGGAGGAGGAGGAGGAGGAGAAAAGAAAGCAAGCAAGCTAAAGGAAAGAGTTCCTAAGGAAAGAGTTCCTCAGTCTACATTTGGACACAAGCCCCTTTCTCCACCATGAGCAGGAACCTGAGTAGCTCTGGAGACATGTTGGTTGTTACATTCAGCTTGATCTACAGACAGTGCTGAGAGCCATAGCCAAGTAGTAATGATGCATGGCATTTTTGGTTGAAAGGTGACGCCAGCAAGCCATTGAGATGATATGATTATGTTAAGATCTGCATTCAAATGGATATTAGACCCCTGCTATCCACCTTGGCCTGCTACGGGACTCCTGGAGAGTTCCCATTGGTTGGGGAAGTGCGGTAGGAGGGAATTCCGGAGAAGGGATTTCCTGTTTGTGTGTGTGTCCGGGAAGAACGCTGCGTGTGTGGGTTGGCATATTTCCTGGGAGCATACAGGGCATTGGCAGGAGTTTCAAAATAAAGTTTGTTCCTGTTTGAGTGGCTCGTGATTTTGTGCCCAGCCAGACTGCAGCAAGTCAGTTCCCTTTTTATATGCAAGTTCCTGCTTCCAGTAGGTCTTTAGCTTTCTTACACCTTTCTCTATCCCCAGCAAGCCCAAAGCTAGTACATAGACAGTGTTCAATGTCATGTGATATTATGCTTATGGTACATGCTACATGCCAAGCACTTTATTGAACTTCCTACATATATTCCTTCACTGAATTTTCACAACAATCTGTGAAATAAATAGTAGATATTATTTTTCCTATTTAACACATGAGAAATTGAGACCCCAAAAGATTATTTAGGTCACATAGTCACTAGTAGGGTACATGAGTTTGTCATATAGAMTTGTCTGACCCCAAATACTATGGTGTTTTCAGAATATTACACTGATTTAAGGTTTGATGATGATCACCATCTCTACATATGATGTTGCTGAGGGAGCAATTGTAATTGATGTCAGCCACACAGAACCTTTTCAAAAAGAAGCATGGGAAGAGACTGGGGAGGAGGCACTGCGGACACCTCTAGTTACTCCCTTCCCCTCTTCTGTAGCAGCACACAGCTAGGAGGAAATGCTGGGCAAAGGTTTGCATCTCAGCCACATGAACCACATCTGACTTCAGGGTTGGGTTCTGAAGTCCAAATAAAAGAAAGTCACTTTTACAGTCACCTTGAGCAGCTTTAACAGAAAACTATAAATTGGGTAGCTTAAGCACAGACAGCTCTGGAAGTTGGGAAGTTCCAGAGCAAGGGGCTGACTTATTTGATTTTGGTAAGAGCTTCTTTCACCTTCGTTCTAAGTCCATTCATGGCCTTTAATTGGTGTATGGAGAGACAGTGATGGGTAGGAGCTTTGCCTTGTGCTTCCTATAAGGTCATTCATTAATCCTACCAGA